CAAGGATCTAAATCATCAAGCATCTTCCTCATTCGTTTATGGATGGACAGCTAATCCTCTCATCCCATACACTCCTAAAGATGATGCAACTACATTAGATTAGTTTCTTTGTCTCTAATGATACTATAAAGAATGCATATAGTAGCACTCAGAATAGATTCATACACATAGAGTAGTTAGAGCACCATATGATATAAAGCATATAGAATACAATAAAGCATCTATCGGAATAGGCATGGATGATAATAACACAGAATGAGATAAACATTTTATTATCTCGTAGATTGGAATGCATAAACACAATATAATTCACATTCCTAAATAGATCGATTAGCAAGACATAGAGGAGTAGAACGACATCACAATTGATACATGCATCGTTGGTGGATGCTTCCTTGACGAATTCCAGTGGAGTTACTTTAACTCTAATCTATGTATTGCTGCTCATGCCCCTAGGGCAAAGTGATAGTAAAAGATTTGTTTCAAAACTCTAGCCTAGCCTTCTATTTATACTAGTTACATAAGGGGGTTTTCTATTTTTTTCGTCCTAAAGCAGCCAAATCCTTCTTTTTCCTACTTAAGTTTGGTTTCCTTCAACTTGGGACTAGTTACCTTGTTGAGGAAGACTTCTAGAAGCTAGGGCATCAGCGGCGGCCCCATGGTGGTTGTACCCGCCGGCGGGTTTATGCTCCAAGTCGGCCCCTTTTTTTGTGGGCAACTTCCTCTTGGGCTCTGATGTACTAAATCGAGTTATAAATCATAGGATGTCCTAGTATCGTATTCAACAAGGTCTTTTGATAGTAACTTCTAAAGCCAGAGGTATTCTCTAGTAGCTACTCAAACCTAACCAATTATGCTCGAATGATAATGCAAACAAAAGTAAATATGATGGGTTAAGGTGTCCTTAGTCGAAATAATGATCTACTAATGCAAGAAAAATAAACGATGCGAGTAAGAAAACAAAGCCAGTAAAAGGATTTTTAGGGTGTGTTCTTTGGAGGATCATGCATATTTACTCATCAATGAGATGCTTCTATGCATCATCTATTATGATGCCATATCCTTTCCTCTAGGGCAACTTTCTACCAATGCATCCGCCTCTTGCGATAGAGATTTAACTAGCTAATGTATGCTTTCGCTTTATGCCATCGCTAATCAATGAAGAATAATGAAGTTTAGATATCACATATGATTAAGTGTGAGCCTCTACGAGCCATAATTGATGGCCTATAGCATCGATGATCTAAGAAGTCAAGCATCATCCTTACTCATGCATAGAAGGGTAGCTACTCCACCTATACAAGCCTAAGAAGATGCCTACTACACGTGAGTTGTCTCCCATGATAATGATAGTTAGGGGTGGGCAACGATTCGATTCTTATCGGACCAAATCGACTCTCGCACCGAATCGAACTGTTCATCTTTCGATTCGACTTTGATTCTTGGATTTGAGAAATTTTCGGTTCTGGTACGGTCCGGACCAAAACCGTAAAATCAAACTAATGACCGGACCGAATCGTTATTAAATTAATTACCTATTATATTATGCTCCAAGAAGGCAAGTCAATTACTTGGAGTTGAAAACCCTATTACCCTACACCTACACGACTTAACTACTTATAAATAGGATTCATTCTCCTCTTGATTTAGACTCGCCGCTCCTACGCTAGCAGAGTTCCTTATTTGCACCCAAAATTGGCATCGTTCTGATGCAAAGCCAACTTTCGTGGAAGAAGGTACATATGAACTTGAAAAAATGGAAGCTGGTATGTATTTGAGCAACTTAATTTGCATCCTCTTACTCGTGTCCATTCCTTAGCAAGCACCACATTCAATTTATAATTTTATATTGTGTTTCTTTTCCATGTTAAAGTTTAAGTAATGGAGAAGATGCAAATAAATGACACACCAAGAGGCTTCTACCAAGTCCGACAAACCCACTGCAAATTAACAAGGTTAAGAATCATTTGTTTTATTTCACTAGTTTTTGAAGTAAGTGCCACTTTGTTAAATACCTTTCTAATGCCTTGTATCTTGTGATTGCAGAAGAGGCTTTCTAATGGACAGTGGGGAATTTGGAGATTAGGTGGTCTGGGATGCATTGAAAATGAAGATGGAAGATTGGACAGACAATTAGTTAGACTATATTGGAGATTGAATAAAAGATTATCTTTGATTTTTAGACAGTATCTCGTTCTCAATTGAGTTTTTGTTGAATGTTTTGGAACATGTGGTTTTTATGAATTGTGGAGTATTTAAATTGGGATAATTTGATGACTTTGTCTCGTAGTTATTTTTATTTAGTATTTTGTGTTGTTCTTTAAGAGTAATTCTATTAGATTTGTACAATTAGTTGGTCCGATGGGATGGTCCATACCGAATGGAACCATCCATGGTCTGATCCAGATCGAATCGAAAAAATAACGATTCAACTTTGGTCCTTGATTTAGAAGAAATTTTGGTCCTACCCGAGAATATTTTGGACCGGTCTTGGACCGGATAGATCGATGCCCACCCCTAATGATAGTAGTATAAAAACGATAATATAGTAGAGCATATAAGAGAAGTCCCACACGCAGACTCACTAGAGCAATCAACAATTAATAATCAAGTGAATGAACAATAGATGATAAAAGGATTAATAACCGCCACTTGACCAGAAAAATTTGAACCTGGTCGAACCAATTTTATATTTAAATTCTTTATAATAATTATATATTTAATACTGAAACGAAACGGGAAACTTGTTTATTAATTATAAAAAAATTACTTATTTATTTTGTTGCTTCTCGTTCCAAAAAAATTCATTCCCCTGCCGAACACTTTGCCTTCTCCGGAAAACGAAGAGTATAGTTCATGTCTCTTGATAGCCGGCAGAAAGGGTAGGGAGGAGCATGAATAAGAGAGTGGAATCACTGAGAGAAAAAGCTTAAACCAGTTTAATCTGGATATCATCATCCTGACGCCCTTGATGATGATGATTTTGACTAACTGTGTCGGGATCTTGATGGTGATGGTCGGCCCGTGGCAACGACGATGATGGTGGTGGATTGGCACAACAGAGACGATGATGGGGATGACCGGGTGACTTGACGGTGGTGGTGGCCTTGCGGAACGACCAAGAAAAGAGAAAAGGAGTGGAAGAGAATGGAACCAGGCGTTACTTTGCTTTTGCTTTTTAATTTTTTAATTTATCTCTTATTAATCAAATAGATAATTAAACCAGACCCACCCAATGGGCTTGTTATGATCGTATCCAATACCTTCCCGGCCCTTTATACCGGCAATTCTGTCAACAAAGGGATGAATGGGTGGAGGCGACATCAACACCACGGAATGAAGTGCAGCCTAGGCGTCGGCTGCCTTCACAGGCAGCAGCTCCTGCCTGCCCTCCAGGCGGCCTCTTGGTGCGATTTGATGGCGGTACAAAGCTGGATGTTGGTGGAAGTGTTGGCTTTGTTGGATTTTCATCAACCGGGGCACTCACATGCGCATACGGTAAGTACTATGCTGGAATATATGACCCTTTTCTCATGGAACTATTAGCGTTGAGAGATTTCATGGATTGGTGCTTAATGAGAGGGTTCTCTTCTGTTTGTTTTTGTGGGGACTCACAACTGGTGATTCGGCATGTATCGGAGGAGCGCCAAGACCATAATCGAGGCGGGGCGATTCTTGAAGAAATCAGATTGATGAAATCATCTTTTGCGGCCATCAGTTTCGTTTTTTCTCCTCGTAGAACTAACAGGGCTGCCCATTGCGTGGCGAAAACAGCTCTTGCATCGGCTAATCAGCATTTGGCTGATTTCCGTTATGTTCTCTTTAATTGTGTGTAATTCCCTATCTAATACAATCTATCTTTGCCAAAAAAAAAAACCAGACCCACCCAATAAATCGAACATTGCAATCAGACAGAAAAGATGACGGCGCCCGTGCTGTAACAGCACCAGATAATTCTCGGGCAGATCAGGTCAATAACTATAGGGTTAGTAATCAACTAATCATGAGTAACTCATTCATATCAGCGTGACATTGACATCCTTCTCTCTCATGAAAAGCTTTTTATCTTTTCCCCCTAAATTTTTAATGGACGATTTCTCTCTCGTTTTAAGTCGGAATTTTTTTTGCACAGAAAAATCAGATTAATTGTGTTCTTCAAATGATATCAACTTTGATATATTTTTAGAACAAAAAATTGAGACATTTTTTACCAGTGAATACCATATGATATTAAATAGGAGCATACCATATGGTAAGAAAGCGTACCATGATGGTATGAACATCAACATACCAAGACTGTAGGAATGTTGAATACATGATAGTAGGAGTATACTAACTGTCATTTATGACTTTCATCATTGTTTACCACAAGTTACCACCCCCATACCAGGGTGGTAAAGTATGGTAATTTTTGCTCCTCTACTTTTTTGTTAATTCGAATTTGTAGATCCAAATAAATCATGATGAACTCATTCTTTCTGAGCAAATGTTTTCAAAAACGACTTAAAATGAAGGAGTTACCATATAGTATGGAGTTGGTAACGAGTGGTAAGAAAAAAAATCTCAAACAATTGGAAAATTGATCTCAGTTTTAGAGCACAATGAACTCATTTCATCAGTGCAAATAAAATTGAAATCCAAGTTAGAACGAAAAAGATAAGAGCAGATTAAGAAAATTAGAAATAATTAAATGCATTTAATTCTTCACTTTTATATATGAATGTTTTGGGTCCATTTAAATCTGATAGCTGAGATTTGGTTACTCATTGATCAGTAACAAAAGTCCAGAATTTCCCACATAATTAAAATAAGGAGACACCAAATTTAAAGACCAAAGCAACAAAAAAAGATGGGAGGGATGCGGCATGGGAACTTGCATAAGTGGGTGAGGGGTTTTCAATTCCCACCCCCACTTGTCCACTTTTACATTTTTTAGATCCAAATTTTCCAAGGTTGGAGGGGATTAAGGTATTAAACTCCCACTTTTCCAAGTCTAATTATCAGTTGGTTAAATAAGTGTCCAAACTCGCGAATCCGCGTCCTATAGCATCCTGGAACATCTTGAAATTGAGATTGTCTTTGAAACCGGAGTAGGTCAAGGTCCAGGTGATGGTGCAACCTCGACTGCTGGGGCCATTGTCGAAGGAATTCGGATCCACCTTTATGACCAAAGAGGCAGATCGAAAGATCTTCCCCACGAACTCCCTATCGTTGTTGAACCTTGATTCAATGGTTCGATGCTCATGGTCAACCCGGGTGATCTCCTCGGTCGCCCGCGCAACCATCCGTTTTATTTCTGCACCATATCAACAGAGGCAAGACTACTCGATCAAATGCATCAGGGGACGTTGTTAAAATGTCTGATTAGTATTAATACGTACCTTTTCCATAAGTGATCTCCCGAATCGAACCGGCTGTAACACCGTCTCGGTTGGTCACCCGGATGGCTGTGATCTGGTCAGGCATGGCCTCCGGGTACATATTTGTGGCAACAAAAACCGCTCCCCACACATCGTTAGCGGATGAAGCCATCCGGAAACGTTCGGTTAGAGAAGGCATGTTGATCGAGGGAAAGCTATGGCTAGGAATGAATAGAATGGAATGGATTGTGTTCCTTCACCCGCCATTGCTTACATTCATATATGCACTCAAAGTCAACTCTACCCTCCTCTTTGATCTCCTATATATCATAAAATTAAACAAAGATTCCATCTCCATCAAACTGCAACTTGTGATCACAAAAGAACAAGCAAACTATGCTCGATTAATCAATGACTTCGATTAATTAACAAATACCACAAATTCTGGCTAGTCGTTGTTTAATTATTCACAATGACCGAGTTAAAGCACAACAAACCAATGCTCATTAGCCTGGTTTAAGTTAGGGTGGTTAGACACATGCGCTTGCTTAACCAGATGTGGGCCCTTAGTTTGGAGTGGGGCCAGAAGGGGTTAGATCAAAGAGATTTGTCGAAATCGGGTTGCTCATCAGTAAGATATTTTTCGCTTTGGGCCAAGCATATACGATTTTAATTTTGAGTTTCTTCCCAAAAGGTCTCGTACTAATAATGAGCTTGGTGGACACTAATATACAAGGTTCCTTCCCTTGTATATCCAATGTGGTACTTGTATTGTCATATAACAATACTCCACTCAACACAAGGAACACGTACTTCGTGTACTCTCTCAGCGATTATCTTGTTGTGCCAGACATGTTGTATCGATAGGCTTCTCGGTACAAGGATTTCCCCAGATGCGAAACTCTCTTTGATCCGCCAAACAAAAGTGGATCTCGCCTGGATCCACCAAACACACGCATAACTCAAATCTTGGGGTAACAGAACGAGGGTCTCACCAAACTGACGTCCACCGACAAGATTCGAACCAGGCTCTGATACCACTTGTTACGACTATTTCTCTGCGGATCGAAAAATATGAGGGTTCGACAAAGCAAGAAAACTAAACACAAGAACGCACACGACACACGATTTACGTGGTTTACTAACACAAGTGTGTTAGCTAGTCCACGTGCAGGAGAGAGCCAGTTTCACAATACTTTGAGGAGGGATGCAGATTGTAGAAGAGTATGATAAGTATTGATAGTACTTCTCCATGGTCGAACCTTAATCTAATCTAGTAAAGTAAAAGCGGTTACAACCATACACAAAACACGAACCCAAACTGTCGCAATACACCACTGTCTGATCATGATGTATACCCAGATCACCAACCATCCCCTTCAACCATATTCCCTCCGCAAGCCACTGAATAACCAGCCCCTAAGCACTATGTATCACTTCCGTAAGCTACTAAGCGGCTTCGCCACACGAAATTGCTTCTCTATCGGACTGTGATTCTCCCGCATCCACCTCTTCAACCACTTGAATAGGATATGACACCATGTCCTTGAAGCCATACCTCTGTGGAGGTACTCATGTAGTGGCTCTCTTCGATCTACCTGAATCTATAGACTATTGAGCTCGTTCACTAAACTCTAAAGTTTCTGGCTCATCATAAACATACTCATGTTGATCTTCTCCACATTGGTGCTCAAACTAGCTAACTCTCTTTGAGAGTTTGGGTTTTTCCCCAAAATGTCTCATACTAATGAACTTGGTTGATATTAATATACAAAGGTTCCTTCCCTTGTATATTCAATGTGGTACTTGGATTGTCCCGTAACAAGCTTTTTTTTTCTTCTAGTTTTTATAATTAGTTGTTATCTTGTTCATTACAACTTAGATTTTTTAAAAAATATTAAAGATGAAACGAGTTATTTGTGATATACAAAATTATATATATTTCAATATATTTTGAGAAAATTTTATACCACTTGTTACCACTCTAGTACCATCTTCATTTTTACTCAAATTAAAAAACAAATTGCACAAATATAACGAGTTTATCGTGCTATATTGGATCTATAACTTTATAGGGGAAATTGAGGACCAAAATATACCACCCTGGTATAGGGTGTAAACTGGTGGTAAACAATGATAAAATATGGTAAATATAGTTAGTATATTCCTTGACCATCAGACACTTTGTTATGTTCATACCACCTTGGTATACTTTCATATTACGTGGTATAATATTATGTAATACCACGAACAAGGGATTGGTCTAGTGGTAATACTACTAGCCTTGAACCTGGAGGTCCCAGGTTCAAATCTCTTCAGTAGTACCTAATTAAAAAATAAAACCTATATCACCCTTATCTAAAAAAAAATATATATATTATGTAATACCAAATATTATCACCATGGTATAGACTGGTAATAAATGTCTAAGTTTTTTTGTTCCAAAATATATCCAACTAGATATAATTTTGAATAACGCATTTAATCTTATTTATCTGGAAAAAATTAAATTACTAGTTAAAACCAAAGAGAAATAATCCGTTAAAATATATAGAGAAAAGGGCTAGAGGCCACATCAAACATTTATAAATTTTGACGGACTATTCTATTTCATTTTTACCATGTATAACAAGGTTGTGCATTGGATCCGTTCCAAGGGCAGAGCTACCTTGTTTCTCTGGGGCCCCCCGGCTCCTTGAAAATTCTGAAGATGGCGTATAAAAATATCGAGAATTTTGGAAATTCTGAAGAAATTAGTTATTATACAATTGCCGTTCCACGCAAAAATTATAAACTTTGCCTAGCTTTAGTCCAGCAAAAAGCAAATTTTAGTATCTTCCAGGTACCAAGGTTCAATCCCTAGCAGGACCATATTTTTGCAGATTTTCTCTTTTTGGATTAATTTTTGCTTAAAATTTGAACTAATTACTTAACTTTTGTACTTCATCTTCATATATTTTCTAATTTTAAAGTTCAAACCAGATAATTAAAGATGAAGTATGTCGGTCATTTACTATTTATTTTGAACAGAACATTACATAACATAACATTTTAGTTTATATCATATGTTTATATCTTTTAATTATCTAAAATATTGCTTGGGTTTCTAAAATACTGCTTGGGTTTCTATAATGAATGAATTATTATGTATTTATTAATTATTATTATTAGTTATCTTCTTAGAAAATTTGACGGATACTATAAAAAAAAGTTCGCCCCCCGGTCTCTCAATCCTGGTTCCGCCTCTTATCCGTTCCCTATTAAAATTGTCCAAAGTTTCGAGATAGATTTTCTTTTCTTACTCTGGTGTTTTTGCGTGTTTCTTCACTTCAACTATGAGTGACTGTTACGATCTGTTGTTTAGATTTATGGAACCTGGAGTATTCCAAAAATTGTTTTATTTGTTGATTTAATGACAATATATATTGGTTGAGTCCTTATTCCTATTTTGGTTATGGTATCTTTCCCTTAACTCGAGGTTACATCGGTTGTTGAGCAAAGTTTTGCTACGGAAAACTTCTCAAGAAGAAGAACGTCAAGGCTCCCTTATAATTAAAAAAATTGGCTCTCCCTAATTATTCATTCATCAAATAAGATTAAAGAAAGACACTGTTTACAATATTGTTGCTAGTCGTTGTTTAATTATTCACAATGACTTTGACTCAATGCACAACAAACTAATATACATGGTTAGGATTAATTAATTCAAAGTAAGATGAACTGTCACATAGTTGTATGGAATGGTAAGAGTTGAATTTTCTTTCTTAATTTCGAAAACTTTTGCAATTTGCACATAATTCGTTCGTGTTTCAACAATCAAATAAAAAGGTGGGTGATGCGTCTTTAGTTATATTAGTAAGCACAATTATAGACATAAAGGACAGAAATAAAAGAAACAATACTAAAATGTATAAGGACTTGGTCTAGCAACTAAATACCAAGGAAGCAAAAAAGAGTTTGGTCTCGCGGTTCTATTGTTGGGCCGAACCTAAGTATTCTAGTTTCACATCACATAAGTAACATGAAATGATATTAAAAAAAAGAAATCTTTATCGCATTCATGAAAAAATAATAAATATCAATAAAAAACTATAATGATTCATATAATTTTATTTTGGTAAGAATGAACGAAACAAAGGATAATTGAAAAATCCAAAGTAGATTAGCATGCACCATGGTAACGACATACGAACTAAACTTTAATGCAAATTCCAAATCTGAGTACCTAGCACTCAATTCATCCCATCTCTAGAACCACAATATTTTGAGTAATTAAAAAAAAATGGTCTCATAGGTTTCTACATGTTACAAAATGGTCACAAATATTTAAAACATAACAAAAAGGTCATTCAGGTATCATGATACAACAAAACTACTATTTCATGTCTTAACATCCATATTCCTATCCAAAATAGCAGGTTAGCTTGCTCTAGATAAGGTGTTTTACGAATTGTTTAGGTTTCTGATAATATTTTTATTGATTTTTCACTATATCAACAAGCTTATAGGTTATTCTATATGGAAATATGGCTAAAAAGTGAAGGAATGACAATTTTGGTATATCATCATACTTATATGGCATTTTTGTTACATTTCAAAAGTTTGTGCCCATTTCGTTCCCATCCTATGTGACCATTTTGATTAATTATCCATATTATTTTCATACCAAAAATTCCATAAGTTCTAAATTCCTTTCACACAAGTAGAAACAATAAAATTTGTTTGAAATGAATAAAATGTTGAAATTCTTGTCCTAATGAATTCTCGTATTAAGAAATTCTAAGAAAGATAAAAATATTCTTAAAATATACCAAAATAGATATAATGGTGCATATTAAAATCAATGCTTCTTTTTATGCAAAATGTTTTGAGCCAAAACAAAAAAAAGATATGACCAAATTATGAAAAATGGAGGATTAGAAAAAGTAGATTTTAACTCATAAAAAAGTTCTACTCTTTCGGGAATGGATAATGTCAGTAACCTTATGGTGAGTAACCATGAGTAACCCATCCACATCAGTATGACATCAGCATCCCTCTCTCTCCTGAAATGCCTTTAATTTTCCCTTTCTTAATCTTTGACAGACGATTTTCACTCGTTTTAAGTCAAAATTTAATTTTTTCACAGTTAGATCAGATTAATTGTGCTCTTCAAAATGATATCTACTTTGA